ACGATTCAATGGTTAATTGCTGCTGCACGCTCTGCCGTGGATGCGGCCCATGGCTGTGCTCGGCCGAACAAGAGCGTGGCGTACGGTAGGTCGAGGGTTGCAGATACTGCGAAGCTGCTGCTGCTGCTGCTGCTGATGGTTGATTGATTGATTGATTGATCAGCTAGCTGTGGCTATAGGCAGGCAGGCCGCACTGCGCAATCAAGATCATCCCTCTCTTCCCGTCAGCTTATTTATGCGACTCCTCACTCGCTCGTGTATGACGAAACCCTACAATCACTTCTGCTCGCTCTTACGGTACACTGACTGTCTTCAAAGCGATCGCAGAGTGACTGGCACTGCGCGAGCCTGGCGGCTGCTCAACGCTTTGCCCTGGCGAGCCAATCAGCCATTGACACTTGGCACACAGCAAGGTCTCCAAGCCGAGTCCTCAGTCAATAGATCCGAGGCTAAATCGCTCACAGCTCTCGGTTCATGCCGAGCTGAGATTCACCTAGGGAAAACGAGTGTGTCGATCAGGCAATGTGGTTGCAGATAAGCAAAGCTTCGCAAGGGAATCGATGGGGACGAATGCCAGAGCGGTCGGAGAGCAAGGCTCGTCACAGCTTCTAGAGCTTGTCGAATCCTCCAGTAGAGAGGGAAGAAGGCAGGTCGGAGGCGTTCTTTCCGCAATTGTTTGCAGCGGCTCGATCCGCAGTGACCTTGATGACAACGTTGGTCGTCTTGCCATCACCTCGCTCTGGGAAAATGTCCTGGAACATGATCTTGCAGCGTGAGCTTTGCACTTTCCCATCGATAGTAACGCTCTCGACGTAAGCTCGCGATCCTTGAGGAATTTTCTTCTTGAGCGAGGCGGGATCAAAGCCGTCAACGGTGATGAGCGCATTGCCTAGCAACTCGTTCTTGAAGAGGATCGACTCGAGGAAAGGCGAGAGCACCAGGAACTCTCGCGTGCCGGGGATGGGGTACTGAAGGTACCGTGCGTGAAAGTCAGAAACTCCCGCGGTCGACAGAGGGGCTTCGTTGCAGATCACTCACCAGACCGCTCAAGTGAAACATCAGAAGCGTCGCCATTGCAGCATTGTCGTCGTTGCCAGGAATACCATCGTTGCCAGTGTTGAAATTTTCAAACACTACTTGTCTGACTCGATCGATGGACAGGTCTGGACGATTGGCGTAGTGATCTATGGCAAACGACGCGAGCGGAACAGCGGTATCAGCATAGCAACATCGCGATACACTGCAAATTTGAACGCACAGACTATAGGTGTCTGGAAGCTGGGTTCGTTACCAGCAAGGTACAGACCCGCATCGAAGAATTTGTCTACTCTCTTGATGAACGCTTCGTTGTTACCATTAGCGAGGAGCTTGATCAAGCCAGCAAAATCGTGAGGGGCATACAAGGAGTATTCCCAGCTGCTTGACTCGTACACTCCAAAGACGTTGTTCTGCTGCAGAGAGCAAGCGTGGGTCTCGTTGGTGTCAAGCGGCGAGCAGTCCGTCGGATCGGATTTGGGGAACGAGCCGTCGATGCGTCTCTTCGCCACAAAGTTCTTGAAGCCCATACTTTCGAGGTCGGGGTTGAAACAATTCTTGTAGAAGTAGGCTCGCTTCTCAAGATCTTTGGCCACATCTCCGTGATTCGTGAGCTTGGCAACATTTCGAATGGCAAAGTCGTTCACGGCATACTCGAGTGTTCTGGAGCACTCGCGAGTCTGCCGACCTGTGCTGACAGCGTCAAAGACGGCAAAGGGAATGTATCCGTATTGTGTGTAGACATTGATCTGTCGACCGCCGCTATTCCACTCGGCCGGGGTAGAGTAAGCATCGTTGTGCAGCGCGGCGTACATGTCCTCCACGTTGACTCCGAGATCCTTCGCATGTTTGGCGTACTTGACGAGGAAATCGGCCGAGACCAACGTACCATCGCTACCGCCTTGAGTGAGACCAGGGACATTGTTCGCACGGCATTCCGGAATGAAGCCGTCTTTTCGCCAGCCGTCCGTAATAGTCTCGACGACTTGGGCGTAGTCTCTAGGACTGTGGAAGCCAAGATAAGGGAATGCGGTGCGCGAAGAGTCCCAAAGACAGTAGAGACCGTCGAAGTAGGGCGCTTGGGTGTTGAGGTACTTGCCTTGGCCCTCCAGCGTAGCATTGTTAGGACTGACGAAGGATCGGTAAAGCGAGCTGTAGAACATTTGAGCTAAATCCGTATTGTTCGTCTTGACAATGACTCGATTGAGCTTCTCGTTCCACAATGCTTTGGAAGCGCTGGCCACAGCCTCAAAGTCAAACCTGGGAATCTCTTCTTCGGCATTGCGACACGCTTGTTGCGCGCTGACGTAGCTGGTCCCGACTCTCACGAGCACCTGCGGATTGCCGTTTTGATCAGTGGGAGTCTTGTCCCACGAGACGAGAGCGCCGGCCTGGATTGGCTGACCACCGATCTCGTTGCGGACTTGTTGTGCGTGTTTCAGCCCTTCAGTGACGACCGATTGGCCGAAACGGTCGCCTGCCCAAATGCCAGCTTTTGCGAGCGTCTGCTTGCCTTCGTTGAGATAGTCGTAGCAAAAGTAGCCGTTCCAAGTACTGTGAAATCGTCAAGTCGGTCCACGTCAGAGATTCGCTGCACTGGTCTTCATTCTTGGCGCCCCAACCATACTCACGCTCCACTGACTCCAAAAGATGAGCCCCAGCTGCCATTCATCATCACGCGACCTTGCTCGTAATTGAAGTCCATCTGTCCTCCTCGGAAGGTGCCAGGCAGATCGTTGGTCCAGTCGTACACGATGGTGGGCTTCTTGTATCCTGCCTGCGCGACCTTGTCCTTCGGAAAGGTCCAGCGCTGGAGACCTGCTCTGCGGGTGCTGGTCACCTCGATGACAACGCCATCGACGAGCTGACTGCTGAAGTAGCCAGGGCGAGCAACGTCTTTGCCCTTGACTCTTTTCCGCATGCGCTCGTCCAGCGTCTTGGGACAGGTGGCAAATGTCTCACAAAAGACTGCCATTGACTCGGATTGGCCAAAGGATCCTGAAGAGGAGCCCGTGCCCGAGTCATGCAGAACTGAAACGCCCCTTACGGGAGCGTCCAGATTACCATTGTAGCCGGCGCTAAAGACGGGCGTGGCTGATGAGTATAAGGCTTGTCGCAGGCAATGCTTTGGCCTTCTTTACAGATAATCGACTCACGGTGCATAGGTCTCAAGGTCGATGCCGAGCTTTGCCATGCCAAACGGCACGGTCGCGCCTGGAAAGACGTTGCCGTATGTTATATTGCCAGTACCGATGAAGGGGTTCACAAGTTTCGTCAGGTCGATCGGCTGCCCGTTTGCGCCCTCAGGTACTGCGTTGTCGCTCGTCGTAGCTTGACCGACCTGAGCCCCTTTGCCAGACTGCTTGCCAGTGTTTGGTCTTGCCTTCTCATTGGTGGGCTTGGCGGGCTCCGCGTTTGGGCTCACACTTTCCCCGGATCCCGCCGAACCGTCATTGGGCTTCGCTTGCGACTTGGTTGGGGGCGTGCCGCTTTGAGTTGATTCCTTGTCAGCTGGCGAATATCCTTGATCTTCCTCCTGACTCAAAGTGTTGGGCTTCTTCTGATCAGCACCGGTCTCTGCCCGTTTGGATAAGTGCTCGTCGAACAAGCCGCGCTCCAAGCGGTAGGTCAGCTCTTCAAAGCCATCAGCAACACGAGCTTCGAGCGTGACGCGATCGACCGAGTCGACGCGAGGAAGCCATTTTGCATCGAAAAAGGACTCTTCCTCATCCGATGCTGCCCGCAGCACCACTGGATACTCGTCCTCGCGGCGCTCCGAGAAGAGCTCCTCAGCATGTTCGCGCTGATAGATGATTGCATCCGAGGCCAAAGACTTGCGTTCGACGGCGCGGGATGGATCGTCCGTTGGCTCGCTCACTCTGCGATCAACCAGAGGCGACGCGTTTGAGCGGCTCATCGCACCACGCTGCAGGAGGGACTCGCTGCTGACAGGAACGCCGTCCCTCTTCGCGAATTCAGATTCGAGCTGCTGCGCTCGAGCAGCGCGCTCGTGTGGCAGAGACCTGCTTACCAGCTTCTCGAATCCTTTCGATTTGGCTTCTACCTGCAAGGCATCGCGGCGTAGCAGAGCCAGCAGCGCGATGCTCAGCAGCAATGCCTTAGTCTTCATCGCGAAAGAACGTCGCACGTTGTTCAACGAGAGTTGGCGGGCTCGACGCTTCGGAGAGGATGGTGTCACCAAGAGATGAAAGTGGTGTGAAATCCCGCAGCGCAGCTTGTGGAGACTTTATAGAGGCGATCAGGTATGTCTGCAGAGCGTTCAAGGATGAAGGTCCCCTTGATCTGCAGGGGTGGAGAGGGTCAGGAGTAGCAGGGCGGTTAATGCTGTCTAGCGACCTGGCCGCTGACCAGCACTCGCAAGCTCGCGGTGACGACAGCCTTGCAAGGGTACAATGTGTCGCACTCCCTGATTGAGGGGCCGTCTTACCGAGGCCGAGTCAAACAAGAAAGGCGTGGGCCGAGGCGTCTGCGCGTATACTTTCTTCGAAAGAAGCAATGAAAGGAACGATATGAAGTGCGGCGCGGCCCGCGAAATAGCAGTAATCGATCGAGATTCGTCACTATTTGCGCACAGGAGCAGAGGTACGAGGCTGAGTGGAAGCCAGATCGCAATGAGGACACCGCCATATCAGCAAGACACTAAGCGTACGAGCCCGCGGAAGCCAGTCTGGAGTGTCAGTGTTAGTGTGAGTGTAAGTACTCGCTTGCACGGAGCACAGCCCAGCCGTTCCTGATCAGACTAAGCATCGCGGGCGCAATGAGCAGACCAGCGCGTTCGTGGATGGCTGGCTGGCTGGCTTAGCGCAGTGGTGAGTCATGGCAAAATGGCAGATCAGGGCAAGCAGAAGAGTCAAGAGCGTGCTCATCGTGGGCGTGCGCGTGCGCGTGCTGTGGGGCGATCACTCGACACTTCGACTCGAAGTGGATTTGAGCAAGATCCACATTCGTGATTCAGAATTCCCCTGATTCTTGATTTGATTGCGCAGCCCTTAATCGAGGAAGAGAGATACGGACGAGGCTAAAAAGCTTCTCGCCTTTCTTTGCGCTTTTCTAGCGGCATAGCAGCAGCAGAGGGTGGGGCTGAGACAAGATCTGGCACATCGCATCGCATATATACATATACAGTACACTCATCAGACTGAGACTGCATGCTGCAGCAGAAGCTGCTGCTTAATTGCTGCGCTATACATCATCATCCGCCGCCAGCCATGCAGGTTATTTCAGTCGTGTCTTTAGTTCACCATGCATGCTGCATGCGCGTTTGTATAGATGTGTAATATTTATATATACATATAGAGAGCAGCCGCCGTGATCTCCGCGGACAGGCTTCCGCGGAGGCGGACAGAGGGCACGTGACCGTGGAAATTCGTGACTTGACTTGCGACTCAAGACTTTTTGACTTGAAGCTCGATCTCGAAAGCTTCTGGCTCGCATCATGAACAGCGATCAAGCTTCTTCGATTCGACCTTCAAAAAGCTTCATAATTCACACTCCTCTGGCACTCGCACGTCTAGTCCGACACGGTGCAAAAGCAATCTGGTTCCTTCTCGAAAGCGCTTCTATCGCAGTAGTGCATATCAAGAGCACCCCCGACTTGAACCTCTACTCACGACTAGGCTACTCAATGTCAGCATCTCTGAAGGAGACCTTAGGAGTATTGCATTGCTGACCTCCACGACTACACAAGAGCAGGGCACTCTATTGCCTCTTCTCAAGCTGCAAGCATGGCCGTCAGCGTGGAAGCACCGACCCTTCGGATGCTGCAATCGCCCCACGTGGAGCTGTTCAGTCAAGGAGCCGAAGCGCGCATCTATATCTACACTCCGCCTCCCATCACCACAACCTGGCTCGACGACTCAAAGGACGTTGCAGGCAGTCCGCGCTCGATCGCTGGAGGTTCAGCCGCCGATCAACTGATCATCAAGCATCGCTTCCCAAAGAAGTACAGACATCCGTCTTTGAGCGCCAACCTCACCGCCTCCCGCACAAGCCTCGAAGCTAGAGCTCTGCTCAGAGCGGCGAGGGATGGGATCAATGTGCCTGCTCTGCGATTTGTGGACGAAACTCAAGGTGTCATTGGGCTGCAACGGATTCGGGGACGGACAGTGCGTAGATGTCTTGGTGCAGGAGATGAAGCAGAAGAGGAAGAGGAGAGCGAAAGCACACATAGCATCTCAGAGCACGTGCTTTCAGACGTCGCATCGGAAGCTCTGGATGAGTGGACGCAATGTGAGCTGTTTGGGTCGAACATCATCGCGCTGAGTCGGTGCGGAAAGGCTCACAAGGCGCTTGAATGCGTTTCCCTCTCCAATCTACAGCCCAAGTGATGATCTTAATCGGACGTCAGCTGGCGCTCTTGCACGCTGCGGATATCATACACGGCGATCTGACGACCAGCAACATGATCTACGTCGAGGCAGAGCCTGGCATGCTGGGCAGAGTCGTGGGTGCTCCGCCGATCCACTCAGCAATAATTTCGAGCGTCCTGACCGACTCTCCTTCCACGGCAGGTTCTCATTGACTTTGGCCTGACCTCGCAGTCCTCCTCCGCGGAAGACAGAGCGGTGGACCTATACGTCCTCGAGCGGGCATTTGCGAGTACTCATGCGGGCTCAGAGCACCTGTTCACACAGATACTGGACACGTACTTTACGGAAACGGACTTGATTAGGAAAGGAAAGGGGAAAGGCTTGAAAAGCGCAGAGATTCTCCGAACATTGGAAAAAGGTGAGTCAAGTGCACAGATCACACCTCTTTCTAGCTGACCCACGAAAGTCCGCTTTGATGGTAGTGCGCCTACGGGGGCGCAAGAGGTCCATGGTCGGCTAGGTTTTCGAAAGCCGACTC